CAGTCCGCCGCCCGCCGGGCGCTCACCTGGTTCCGCAGGGTGGCACGCGACACGGCGGAGGTGCCCAGCGCCCTCCATATCCCGGGGTCCGGGGCGGCAACCAGTGCCTGCGACCGAGACACACAAGCCTGTGGGGTCGGGCCTGAGCCCCCCACCCCCAAACCTCATCTCATGCAGTGACCCTGCCCTCTCGGAAAACCCCGGGCCTCACTCGGGTCAGCCAGCGGACGCTGCTCAGCGCGGCCATGATCTCCGCCGGAAGTCGCGCCGGAAGTGACGCACGTCGACGCGGCCTCGCAATGGGGCTTCCGGCCCGTTGTGGGGACTTGCCAGTGTTCCCGCGCCTTGGTGCTCTGTGCCGCCGTTTCCCTCCCGCCCGTCGTCTGAGAGTTAGACTTCGTCCCCTCGGGGAGCCTGCGACCCGCCTCAGGGGCTGACGGAGGCCCCGGGACCCGCAGCTGTTGCGCCATTTGCCGGCCCCTACTCGTGTCGAACACACACGACCGTCCAGGAGGACGTGCGGTTCCACGTCTAGCGAAGCCCCGGTTTCGTAAGAAGCGACCCTGCGGGGTGCGCGTTTTCAAAGTGTGTTTGTTACTGTACAGCTGCCGTTCTGTGAACGAATGCCGCTCGTTCCCTGTGGGTCAGGCACGAGGGGCAGCAAGGAACACCCTGCAGTTAGTTCGTCGAGAAAAGATACTGTCTGGTTCGCCTTCAGCCCCCTAGCCAGCCCGATGGTTGCGAGCAACCGCCCCTCGTGTGATTTGTTTTTTTTGTTACAAAAGCTCATAATTATACGGAGAGATCGTGCCGGAAATGAGTTTAACTTAAGCATGCCACTGTGACGAAGGACGATTGCAATTTGCCTTTGTTTTGTTTTTCTATTTATTTTAAAAATCATTTTACTGGGCGCTCTTACCACTCATAACATTCCACACATCACTTGTATGGAGCATATTTGTACATATGTTGCCATCATCATTTCCAAAACATTTTCTTTCTACTTGAACCCTTGGTATCAGCTCCTTTTTCCCACTCCCTCCCTCATGAACGCTTGATAATTTATAAATTATTATTATTTTGCCATGTCTTACACTGCCCGATGTCTCCTTTCACCCACTTTTCTGTTGTCCATTTCCAGGGAGGAGGTTATATGTTAGATCCCTGTAATCGGTTCCCCCTTTCCATCCCACCCTCCATCATTTTTCTTTCTATTTGAGTCCTTGGTGTCAGCTCCTAATTTTTCCTCCCCCCCCCTTCATGAACACCCCTTCACTCTTAATATCGTCAAATTGGCATGAGGTTACTTAACTACCATATGTAGTGTATTATAATATTAACATAACATGGCCCATCTTCCCTCATATAGCCCTCAAAATACAAACATACATAATGCATCATGGCCTTGTTCCCTGCTACTCCCTGGTCCCAACGTCCGCACTGCTCTTACTATCCACCGCAAGGCCCCAAGGCCGAGTGCTCCTTAGAGGCAAGGATGATGAAACTTTGTCTACCATACTCTGACATGTTGTCAGGAGAGACGAGGCCTTGGAGATGTTCGGTAAAGTGGAGGGGCAGAGAAGAAGAGGAAGGCCCGCAAGGAGCCGGACTGACACCGTGGCTGCAACAATGGGCTCAGGCAGAGGAACAAGTGTGAGGACGGCACAGGGATGGACATATGGTTGCTAGGAGTCAGAACTGACTGATGGCACTTACAGCAACAACTGCCACCATTTGTCACCTCCGAACATTGCCTTTTCTCATGAAGGGCGTGTGGGAGACCTGCCTTTCCCGGGCGTGGTATGGGAAGAACTGGCTATAGCACCGGCCTGTATTCTGAGGCATTTTGAAGCGGACGCAACCACCCACTTTCCATTAGTAGCTGAGCATGTTAACCACTCGCACCATGTAGGAACCCGGCGACTTTCTATATTTCTAGCCCAGTGATTGTCTAATGAGGGAGACCTGCTGACGTAGACGTTACACAGTGGGCTGCTGACTGCAAGGTCAGAAGTTCAAAACTACCAGCCACTCCATGAGAGTAAGGGGCTTTCTACTCCCATAAACACGTACAGCCTCAGAAACTCACAGGAGCAGTTCTACCCTGTCCTGTAGGGTCCCTATGAGTCAGCGTTGACTCGATGGCAGTGAGTTGCTATTTACTGATGTCTCATAAGATTCCTTTAAACTGTAGCAATTGGTTTATCAATAGTTTATGTATTGATTGATTGATTTGCAAAACTGATTTCTGATCAGCTAAATCAGCATCTGGTCATCATTGGGGCACAGTGACCGGAAGAGTTCATGGCAGACAAGGGGAGAGCTTCTACGGGGCGGCCGTATTCTCTGTTTCCATCTGGTTGCTGGTCACAAATGTTCATTTGTTAGGTTTCTCTCGTGGGAAATACCTTGGTTCTTGGCTTCCCACAAGAAAGAATTCACACTGAAGCCTGGTTTGTGATGCAAGTAAGCTTTTATAAAGGACGGGAGAAGCTTCGGGTTTTACAGTCTCAAAGGAGTACACGTTATTTCAGGGGACCAAACCACAGCCAAGGTATTTAAAACTCTGGCTGGGGAGTTGAAGTTGACCTCATTGGCTGAATTAAGCCCACTTGGGCCTAGTTTGGGCCGCCCAGGTGTACCGTTCACGTGGCTTGGGGGCTTGAATTAGAGCATGCCCACTTAAGGTCTTTGTAGATGTTTAATGCTCACCTGATTCTCTTCCAGCCTCCTCTAGGGGGTTTTGTGCAGGCATGGGGAAGGGCTTCCCCCTCTATCCGTATTCTGCTTCCTAACACATTTAGTTTCTAAACAAAGAAACAGGTTGTACACGGGTGATGATCTTTTCTTAATATGTGTTATGGTTCAGTAAAAGGTTTTTAAAATATTCAATGGATGTATGTATGTATGGATTGTGATAAGAGTTGTAAGAGCCCCCAATAAAATGATTTTAAAAATTAAATTTAAATATTACAGGTACTCATCAGAAGAAGGAAAATAAGAGGTGAGGTCAGGATGGTGGACAGAGCATCTGACAAACTGCTGAAAATAAGTAAATGTAAGTGTGTGTAGTTTGAAGAAGAAATAAACTGGTAAAAGAAAAAAAAAGTGGTGGGGGGGAGCTTTGCCTGATTTTAACTTTTTATCAGCGGAATGCCGTTTCTTTTGTGTGTTACTTTTTCACTCCTGGGATTTCTTGCGCTGGCTCATTCCGTGGCTCATTCCGTGAGAGTCTGAGAGTCGCTGTAGCATGCGGCAGAATCCCTTCCTTCTCCATATAAGGTTTCTGTTGTGTCAATGTGCTTATCTGTTCAATTGCTGCCGAGCACAGGGGTACTTCTCAATTTGAGGTTACTGTTAAAAGGATCCCTGGTGGAGTTGTTGGCGATTAGACATTGGGCTCCTAACTGCAACATCAGTGGTTCAAATCCATACCCTGCTCCAAAGGAGAAAGATGAGCCGATCTTGTCCTATAGAGAGTTACTGCCTCAGAAACCCCCTTGGAGGGCCACGGTGAATAGGATTCCATTCCATTATTAGCATCGTGGCTCTGAATATTCCAACCCACAAGAGGTGGGATTTTGTCGGCTCCTGGCTCATCAGTATTTTCTAACCCAATGGCGTTGCTAATAGTTATTAATGAACTATCTCATATTGAGACTTCCTTCGGTATTTTGGAAAAGTCTACTTGGCCATGAGATACTAGTCTTTACACTGCTAGATTTGATTGGCTAATCCTTCATTTAAGACATTTACATCTGCGATCTGAGACTTCTCTTGGCTTGGCTTTGGTCGTCAGCCCTGAGAAGTGGGGCTTTGTAAAGAGATGGAAGCAGCCCTGGCCTGGAAGTAGATGAGGAAACAGCCCCAGAGAGGTCCTGTTAGGAGGGCAACCTGCCACAGGCCCGGGCTGCACTTTCTTGTCGGGAATGCCCAAAATGCAAGGCCCTAAGTCAGAGGGTCTCAACCGTCCTCATGCTGCGACCCTCCAATACAGTTCCTCAGGTTGTGGTGCCGGCCCCCCACCCAACCATAAAATTATTTTTGTTGCTACTTCATCACTGTCGTTTTTTTTGTTTTGTTTTGTTTTTTGCCAAGTGAACCAAAGACTTTATTTTTTAAGAACAAGGAAGGGGGGCGGGGGAGACCCAAAGAACTGTGTGGGTATTCATATTCATTGCAAAAAGAAAAAGAATTATGGAAATTTCCAAGACAGCACGAGAGTAAGCAGAACGCTGACGACATCTCTAACTACAGAGTTGGCTGCGGCCGGGGCTTGATTTCTATGTAAGGAGCGCCTGCAATGATTCACTCTTCACAGGGCGCTGGGGAGTGGCTGTCTTCACGTCTCAGATGACGTCACAGCGGCCGAGGCCGGCCCTCAGACTCCCTGGCATCACTGTCGTTTTGCTACTGTTATGAACCGGGCGACATCTTTGAAAGGGTCCTTCAACCTCCAAAGGGGTCACGACCCACAGGTTGACAACCACTGCCCTAAGTGCTCTTTAGGCGCCCTGGTGCTGTGGTGGTGTGTTAGGCTTCGAATGGTCCTCATGGTAGGCAGTTCGAATCACCAGTAGCTTTCTGCTCCAGTGAACAGTTACGGTCTTGGAAACAAACCCAGAGGGGGTCTCTAAGAGTCAGCAGCGACTCAATGGCAAGGAGAGAAGTGTTCTGTACGGTGCCTTCGCGGCATTGCTAGTTGAAAGCTCTGTGGTTCAAACCATCAGCTGCTCTGCGGGAGTAAGATCAGGGTGTCTGCTCCCCTGGAGGTGTGCAGTCTGGGAAACTCACATCTACTGGGGATTACTAGGATTTGAAATTCAACACAATGGTGGAGGATTTGGTTTTTGTTTTGGTAAGTGCTTTTTGCCAGTACCCTTTCTCAGGCTTGTGTTTGTAGTGAGTATCTTCCTCCAGGACACAGAACAAGCCTCCTTTCTTTGTGTTGTAAAGCAGGTGGGTTCCCTGAGCCCACTGCCTATAGCTCATCTACTGGGCTCCTGTACATTTTCCCTGTGGGACTTGGGGGCAGGGGAGCCACTGCAAACGTTGTGCTTAGGGGGATCGCTGTGCCAAGAGTATAAAATCCCTTGTTTCTGATTCAGCAGCCTCGCGTTTTGTTTGTTTCCAGGATCGATGAACCAGTAAAAGGTGAACTGTTGACTTCTAAGCGGGATAAATGCAATTGACAGACTCTTCCAGTTTTGATTACAGGATGGGATGTTGACAGAAACCTGGCTTTCGGGCAGGGGAAAGACGAGGGAG